AGGTGGTATATGACCCACCCCCTTTACGTGAGCCATGTGTTTTGTAACGTGATTCTTCTCTAGCCAGACGAATATATATATTTTTTATATTATGTTTGTTTTAATTTTCTTAATTTCAAATCCTTTTTTATTAATTTCTAAATAATTAACTCATCTCATTAATTTCTATGTTTTCCCTCATGAATTCATATTTATTGACATGCCCAACTTGTAAGCTAACAAAATAACCACATTAGACCACAATTATTTGATTATAATAATTGTATCTGATTTAAATTTTAATAGTTAATTATATTTCCTTCAGTGTGTATTCATTAAAAACGGAATGGTCAAAGAAACATGACTTAAATTTATAAATATTAATTAGAACGGTATTGGTGGACATGCACTAGACAGAACTGAATGGCGAAACATGATTCATGTAGCTGACCCTATACCTCTAGATAAGGCTATCTTAGATAATGATTAATAATAAGAATACCATTAGTCCCTAAGAATTAAGATATACATCTATGTCTTTGTCGAAGGAAAAAAAGAAAAAGAAAGGATTGTTGGAAAAGACTTAGCCTGTCTCGCTCCACACCCAAGAAACAACAAAGAAAAATTACATCCATTGAACTCTAACAACAGGCCATATATAAAGTGTATCTTGATATATCTCTTAGCCTCGTTCGTTTGCCATTATTTTAGTGGGGGTAAATTGGTTAATGGACGAATTTATATGTTGCTATATTGGGTCTTAAGATAAGTCAAGATACCAGAGAGAGAGATAATGCGTTAGGTAAATATATAGTTCTTACTTGTTAGGCAGCAAAGGTGGAAGAAAGATATTTGTCTCATCTTGACAACCCAGTTTGAGCACTGGAGATTCATGATCCATTCTTACTTAATTAGGCGGCCAAATCAAGCTGGAAATAACGATATATATAAAAAGAGGATGTGCTCTGGTTTCATGTTGGTAAGGGTAAGACACAGTTGAGACCGAGGGACCTCTGTGATTTGAAGCCACAATTTGCTTTATAGTTTTTACAATTCAAATTGAATCCCCACCAGCCTCCAATTGAAGTCTCTTTCTCTGCGATTTGCGATTCATTTTGTTTGCTTATTCAATTTCCCTCGTCCTCTCGACCTTGATTCCAGGGCTTATGTTGGCACAGTAATCTGTATTTTATTTGATTTATTTAACATCAGCCTTCAATCAAGGCGTAACAACAACTATATAAAAAACTAGTGAGAGAGACCGAACATCATATTAATATATATTAAATTAGTTTAAGCTCAAGTACTACTGCTGCTGCATACAAATAGGGGTATCAACGGATTGGTTTTGATTAGATTCATCCAAATCAAAATCAATTTGGATGAATCAATAAAACATATTGAATTGGACTTAATCTATCGTAATGATTTATATTCGATTGGGTTGGATTAAACTGATATTCTGTATTTTAATAAAAGATAAGAATACAGATGCAAATGAACTGGATTTGACCTGGAATTAATCCAAATTAAAACTAATTTGAACGAATCGAATGGTCCAAACATTGAATTAGATTGGTCTAAAGTATTTATTGGGTTGAACTGGATTGGACCTAATCCATATATAATGGATTAGACCAAATCCCATCCAATTGACACTCTTACATGCAAGTACAGATAAAAAGGATAAAGATCATGGGCATGAAGACATGTTTATTAATCTGACCCGTATAGAACCCGATCCATTTCAACTGATTGTGTGGGGCCTATGGGCTAGTCTGATCACTCAACCCACGAACGAAGATGGGTCAATGTGGTGACAACTTTAATGGTCTGATGATCCAAACCAAGTCAGGGACCAAATATGTACATTGCATATATTATTGTATGCTGCCCGGTACATATGGTACGCCTATGACCTACCTGATGCATGGTACACCTACCATTCAATTGGTTTTATAATCTTATCTAGATCTGGTAAGGCTTTGTTTGGATCGTTGGGATACAAAATGGTCTGCAATAGGAAATGGAAGTGGGAATTGGGAAACTAACCTTATTATCCAAGTAGTCCATGCATACTTATATTATAGGAAGCGTGGTAGGTGTCTCTCCTTTCTTATCTTGATCCATGTCCCATGGACCATGGGCCCATTTTTATATATACAGGAGATGAGATAAAGCTCCTGGAAATAAAATAATGTGACTTGAATTGGATAATTTGATCTGCACGTTCCGGTTATCCAAACACAACCCAAGGTTATAATACTGAAAAAAAAATGAAAAAATAGCATTTGATCGATCACATCATCATAAACCATCAAACTAATAAGCAGTAAATGCTCATCAACTGGCTAGAACTAGAAGTTTAGAATCAAAGGGGCCACTCAATGGTCGGGTTCGGACTTATAGGATTACATCAGGTCGGGTCGGGTTAAATGGAAGTCAGTATGGAAGGCTCCCAAGACCAAAGTAGAGACATACCCATTTTTGGTGGACTTGTATACAAATAGCAAGGCTGTCCAAAAAAGTGTGGAATGGACCCACATTGGATTCTAGTTCAACTTGTATTGCGTGAAGCCATGTGGATTACTGGCATCATACGTGCTTCATGTGGAAAAACTATTGTTAGGCCGGTGGCGGAGCCGACAGGACCAAAAAGGCATTGGCAAAGCTACAATTTGAATACTCAAGTGGAGAGATGCCGACTCTGCTCCAGCAAAGCTACAATTTCAACTGTTAATTGATTAGTTAGTCAAACTGGTGGGCTCTTTCAGCGAGTTCCGATCCAATTACGGAATCCATTCCCAACGAAATTATTTTATTTCGTACATTTTGAAGAATAAAAATAATAAAATATTTTCAGATAAGTTGGACCCCMAAAAAATTATTGAAAGAGCTCTAAATGCATTCAAGAGAGTATCGAGTTGTGATTGAGAAGCCAAATCGAGGCTATAACGGAAAACATTGAGAAATGTGAGATGGAGTCCGCTTGAGGAGGGAGAGACCAAGATTAATTTTAAAATGGGAAATTGTTTGAAATTTACCATCAGTTTTTAGCATTTCTCTAAAACTCACTACAATTTTTCAAAACATAAAACTCATGATATCATTAAGTTTTTATTTTCTAAAACTCACATTCCATTAGTACATTGTTAATATTTTTTAACAGACGTATTTACATTAGTATAAATAACAATTTTTATGACCAAATCTCCCTTGAATAATGAGTTAGAGGAAAAGGGTCTTTTTCATTTTCCAATTTTCCATTTGTTTTCTTTTACATTTTTAGTGTTTTGTTATAATTTCTGTTTTTTTACATTTTTCTATTTTCTACACTATAAATTTCTTGTATTTTATGTTATTTATTTGCAATTTCTGTGTTTTTCTATAATTTTTGGTGTTTTTTTCTATAATTTATTTTTTGATTTTGTTTTTTAATTTCTATAAATTGAAAATAGTTTTTTATTTTATGTGCAATTTCTATAATTTTTTATATTTTTTTGCAATTTCAGTGTTTTTATGTATTTTATATTTGAAATTATTTTTGAACTTTTCCTTTTTTTTCATGTTTAAATATTAAAATATATGTATATATTTTATATATGTATGTATTTTATATTTTTCTATGAAGGTTTAAATGGTAATATATTAACAATCATTAGTCTCTTTAACGTCAAGTTAGTGACAATGAGTTTTAGACATTTTGAACAGTTGTGATGAGTTTGAGAGAAATGCTGAAAAYTCATGGTGAGTTTTTGACAATTTCCCTTTTTAAATTTGATGCCTCAAGGCTTAACAATGGTATGTATCCAGTAGTTGCAGTGGCCAGAAACAGTTAAGGGGAGATTATTGATTTTAAGGATTAGTCTTTGGGTGTGTCTACCATCAACAATGCAAAGGCTTGGATGGCTTGGAAGGCCCATAACTTGGCTGTCAACTTTGAAGGATCAAAAGTCATCGTGGAAGGTGATTTGAAATTAGTCATTTCTGAAGAACCGTTCTTTTCCCCTTGGAACCTCAAGATCATTATCCAGGATTGCAAGAGGATTATAGACCTTAAGGCTGTGTTTGGTTTGAACTTTGAAGGAAAAAATAAGAAAAGATAAAGAAATCTTTACAAATCTTGTTTAAATTTCCTTGCCTTTCCCTTCTTTTCCCTACCGTTTCCTTCAAACCAAACATAACTTAAGTATAAAATGAGTTATAAACATGTCAGAGAAGCGAATCAAGCAGCCGATTAGATTGCTAATCAAGCACATTTTAATCATAATTTTATTTTCTTGGACTTATGTAAGGGTGACTTGTGGGGACGTTCTACCCCATCTTGTGTAGCATTTTTCGGTTTTATCAAAAAAAAAAAAAAACCATTTCCTTCTGACTTGTCATTTAGAAACGGAGTCCCCCATAATATAACAGCAGTAAGATATCGATTAGCCAAAGCAATTTGTTATTGTTATTATTAATTTGCTTTTGGGCAAGCAAATCTCAAAAACTTGGGACGCATTTGGATTTTGCTTGCTTAATTAGTTGAACGCCCAAGCAAAAGCAAAATAGCAAAATAATTTTTTATTCAACACGTGGGAGTGGGACTAAAATTTTCTCCAGATTTCAACGCTTCCTCAGATCAACCATGTTTTCAGTTAAAGCAATTTCTGTGTTTTGGGTCAAAGTGATTTTTATTCAAGCATTTATTTATTTTTTTTTATCTCAAAGCAAAAGAAATGTTATTTTCTTGTGACAATCCAGTCGGCTGGTTACCAAACAAAGGATCCAACTCCTTAATCTTCATTTATACACTGTCGGTACCAAGGCTAATTAAATTATCGTTAATTATACAATAAGATCACAAATATTGTTTTCTAGAATTTTATACTTCTTTTTTTAATTAAATTCCAGAAAATTAATAACCCATATTGCCATACGTCTTATGGTTGTCAAAGCTCTGCTTTTATGCACAGACATGTGAGAATGTGACCCACCTTCTGAGAAGTGAGAACATCTCTATATAAACCCAACTCCCACCCTCCATCTCTCACTCCTCTCATCTCAACTTCTCAACTTCGATCTCAACCCAGTCCAGTCCCATCTCTTAAACTACTCTTCAAACATATGGCGCGCATTAGCTTTTCCTTGCTCCTGCTGCTTTCAGTCCTCTGCGCGGCCGGCATGGTCGAGTCATCCAGCTCTACAGACTTCATCAAGACCTCTTGTGGCGCCACTCGGTACCCCACGGTGTGCGTCGAGAGTCTCGCCGTGTACGCCAATGCGATTCAACAGAGCCCTCGCCAACTAGCCCAAACTGCCCTGAAAGTGAGCTTGGACAGGGCCAAATCCACCAAGGTGTTCGTGTCGAAGATGACCAGAATGCATGGATTGAAGGGCAGACAATACCAAGCTGTGAAGGATTGCGTCGACACCATGGGCAACAGTGTGGACCGCCTCAGCCGATCCATTCAGGAGCTGGGGCAGATCAGTCGAGGTAGCAGTCAGGATTTCATGTGGCACATGAGCAACGTGCAGACCTGGGTGAGCGCTGCACTCACCGACGAGAACACTTGTATGGATGGGTTTGCGGGCCGCGGCATGGATGGACATGTGAAGATGGCCATAAGAGGGAAGATCGTCAACGTCGCACAGGTTACCAGTAATGCGTTAGCGTTGGTTAACCAGTATGCATCTACGACTGTTACGCATAAGCCATAGCCATGAATGAAGGGTCCCTTTTGAGTGCCTAAGCTTTTCTTTGTACGCTTTTGGTGTAGTTTTGGTTTCCCTTTGTGTTAATGACGCAAAATATATGCAAGTCCCTAGTGATGAGCGACTATGTAAATGTTACATGTATATCCTTAATGAAAAGTCCCTATCCGGCTGTAGTAGGTTTTGTTTAATTGATCTCTCTCTGTGTCTGTCTCTGTGATATGTAAATCAGTTGTGGATCTGCGTTAGCCACCATTAAGGAGGTAGAAAAACAGCACATGGTCTGAGTCATCTCCTATTTACTTCTCAGCAGCTTTTCCCATTTCTTAAAAACGAAGCCTCCTCTTGGAATTGTGCATGATCAGCCAATGGGTTGAGCCGAATTCTGACTTCAGAGGCCTCAATTACGTGTAGCCTATTGGGTCAGTATTGGCAATTGCCAAATGGGTTCTCCAAGCTTCCAAATAATTTATGAGCTAGCTGTAGTTAGGAATTAGGATCAACTCAAATCGACGGTTGTAAGAGATAAAGTTTTGGGGTGAAGTAAAGAAGAATTAAGCTGCAATAAATTACATTCAAGCAAATGAATAAACTAGTGGACCCAACTGCTAAGTGGGTTTTCATTCAAATCAATCTCGAATTTGCCCATCAACTTAATAGGTTTAGAGCCCTTTAAATAATTAAATCTGTGGGTGGGTAACTAGGTGGAAAGCATGAGAAGATGAGGTTTGACAAACAGGTATTAATTCATTAAATTAACAAAATATCGCTAGCTAAATATATAAGCATGGTTGCCCCTGGAATATGCATAGTTGAGTGAATACATTCTAACTGTTGTATTCGACACTTGGGCCCAATAGGCAATAGTGTGTTCAAGAAATACTGTATACAAGGTTTTACACTGAATGTTGCATTCTTCGCAAATTTGAGTCTTGGGGTGTTCGACAAAATAGCCCGCAATCTACGCCTTAATTGTAATGGACAAAGTAGAAGTTGGAGAGAACCGCGGTCCTCACTCCTCGACTTTCTCTCACTTTTCCGTTATTTARATTCTTTTGACTATAACAGTGTTGCCTATGTCGCCATCATTTATAATTAACACACAAGGTTTTAAAAACCGATCCCTAACTGAAACCGGTTTGGCTACTGGTTTACTGGTTTTCAGGTTAGCGGTTTGATTATTCGTTATTTTGAATATATAGTTTATTCTAATTTAAAAAATAAAAAATAAAAATTAAAAATGACCAAAAATCATTATTTGAATTAAATAGATTGACGATTTAATCACCCAGGTCAATAGATTATTGACCAAGTCAATGATTTTTGGCCAAAGACTAGATTAAGAGTGAAAACAAAACCAATTGTTTGGATGATTCTTAGACTGAATAGTCCGATCATCTATATCAACGATGGCTCCAAAACACTGTTAATACATACTAAATTTAAGTTGAWATCAAAATCAAATTCCTAAAAAACAAAGCATAGATGCTACCTTGCACAGAAAAGTTTTGATTTCAAAAACATTTTGCCTATTTAAGTTCATTGGTCTGTAACGATTTTTTTCAAAAGCTTGATTTCTTAATTAAATTTAATTATTTTATTAATATGTTTATAATATTCTAAAATTTTTAAGTGAAATTTCGTATGGAACTTCCAAACTTCAGCGAAAAAATAGTGGGCTAACGGAAATCAGGAAAATCGGCCAGAAGGTAATCATATGAAGTTTCAAAGAAAACATCCGTATCATGCAACCCAGTACAGACGACCAGTGGAAACAGGTGGGAATGATAGAACAAAGAGTATGTGAAAAAACTTAAAGCAATTTCGGTTAACAATCATGATTTCTTTTCCTTTTGAAAAGAAATATAAACCTAATGTTTCCTAAACATTTCCCATCATTTTCCCACTTCATGGGAGCCATAAACATTTTGGGAAAATGCAATATTTCCCAGAAATACATAATACTTGCAAGTTCCATTTGAAAAACAGAAAAAGAAATAATGTTCACGAAGAATTAAAAGTGATCATTATTTGAAATTGAAGATCAGATTAGACTTTGTGAAATAGATACTATGAGAGGAGACAAGCATGTGTACGTTCTACGAGTAAGAAATATGGATTAATGGCAATTTGCTTTAGAATTATGTGTGAAAGACTGAAAGGAAAAGACCAGAGATGACACCAAAGATATGGGGCCCTACTAACTAGTTGTTTAATGACTTTTTATTTTCCCTTTCATATCTACGTTTTGGTACGAGGGGCTAACTTTGTCTCCAAAGTCCAATGTAGAGAAATAAAGTAAGAAAGAAGAGATAAATAAATTGCATGGGGAGAGATAAGGCAGGTCACATGGAGACAGCGGACTCTTTTAGGACTGTGGAGTGGAGAAGCACCAACTTGGTCAGCCCAACTGGTCCCAGCCAGCCTTTCATGTACTTTTTTTCTTCCTTTTAATTTTGTTCTTTTCTCGATAAGAATAATATAAAAATCAAGTGTGAACTGTGAAGTATGAGCGACGAGGTGGACGTTTCATGCTACGATGCGTTGATATGTGTGATAAATAAAATATTGTTCAGAGTTTAGACAGAAAGATCCCCATGCATGATCTCATACTTGGATCGGCGGGTCATGGTTGAGCTGGTCATGAAAGGCACGTGGCCATTTTGCCTGATCAGCCCAACCATGACACCATAGCTTGCCCATAACGGCATAGCTTGGCGAAGCTACGCTACTACTGTGGCCCCCAATCTTATTCTCTATTCTCTGTCAGTTACACATTATGTGAATAAATACAATTGCAGATAAGAGGAGAAGCCATGTCAGCTATACATCACACGGATAAATATAATTACAAATAAGAGGAGAAGGGAAGACAACTCCGTTGGGGAATATGACTCTAGCCTGAGGACCTTGGCGGTAAACCTCATCCCGACAACCCTGTAAACCCAATCCGACCAGGGCATGGATCTTTGGCTATAAAGAGACTCCYCACTCAAGGTAAGGGATTCCAACTTCTGACATTCATACTGTCACCCGAGCATCCACCACCTTCTATTGACTCGAGCATCAGAGTGCCAACTCGGGAATCACTCCTCGGGTCTCTGACTTCTTCTTTCTTGATCACAGGTCTTGAAGTGCGGCCTCGTCCTTGTATCTCGACACCGCCTTATTGGCAAGGACTATTTGGTAGCTCTCCTTATTTCGTGCTCCACCTCAGATTGAGCAACATTAGATTGGCGCGATCTGTGAGAAATACACAAAAAGCCTTTCCCAAAAATTTTTCCGTCCTCACCGCACAATCAAGAAAGCAATCAAAATGTCCAAGAATCAGTTTGAACGATCAACAGGCCGATCCCCATCTCGGGAATCTCGGCGTCACAGCCCTCCGCATCAAGAAACTCCATAACCTCTAGCCGCGGTTGATCCTGTGTAGTTCCGAGCAATGCAAGAGAAAGTCGATAAAATCTTCGAGATGATGCAGACACTAGGATCCACGGCACCACCCAACCGGGCCGTCCCCCCTCACGCCCCAACACACACGCAGGACGATCCTCATCCCGAGGACCCCAAAACTCGTTGACTAGAAAGGGGGGGAGTGTGGTCCGACCATGAGAAGCAAGACATAGCAAGGAGGTCTGCCTCCATGGCATGCTCTCGCGAGCCCGATAACCGCAACAGGATGCACCAAACCACGCGAATCCCCGCCAAAGAGAGGCTCGGCAGGAGGTGCCACCTCGCGTGGTCTCCGTCGCGGAGTCCAGCTCAGTGAAAGACCGCTCCGCACGGCCCAAGAAGGAGAAAGCCATGCGTACCGCAGTCCTAGATAACAGAGACGCAAAAATTTGAGACATTTGACAATGCTTGGAAGAGTTGGTGCGCAACCAAGGCTAGAGAAGCACGGCACTGGCTATAGATCAGCCTGCGTAGCGCAGCTGCACCAACCGCTAAGGAACCACCGTTCACCCAGGAGATCGTGGACGAGGTGCCTCCCATGGGGTGGCGGGCACCCCAGCTCGACAAGTATGATAGGAATACTAATTCTACTGACCACATTGAGGCACTGAAGGTTCAAATGATGTTGCACGGATCCTCTGAGGGCTTGATGTGCAAAGCCCTAGTTGCCACCCTTACAGGTYCAACCCTAACTTGGTATTCCTCTCTGCCTCCACGCTCCATAGCGTCGTGGGAACAATTGGAAACCCAATTCCGTGCACAATTCACGGCGAGCCAGAAGCACTGGAAGACCTCGGCCAACCTTATGCAGGTACGACAGAGGAAGACATAATCTCTCAGAGACTACCTGGCGAGATTCAACAAGGAAGCACTATAGGTCCAGAACCTAAATTAGTCTGTGGCCGTCACCACTATTCAACACGACCTCCGCCCCTCACCATTCAACTTCTCCATCTCAAAAAACCCTCTGCAGACCCTAGTCGCATTGATGAGCCATGCGCAGAAATACATCAATGGGGAAGAAGCACAAGCACAGTTGCGGGACGAGGAAGAAAGGCTAGATAAGAAGAGAAAGAGACACAGAGGAGCGGAAGTCAGACAGATTAGATTGGGACCACAAGAGGCAGGATCGCTGACCCAATCACAGACTGCGGACACCGCCGCCAACCTATCGGAACTTCATGCCGCGAAATACACCGCGATCTAAAGTTCCGATGCAAATCTATGACCATAGTTATGTCCACTGGCTCGAGAAGATGAAAACACAAGGCAACAAGAGGAACCGTGACAAGTACTACAAATTCCACAGGGACCACAGTCATGACATGGAGATCTACTTTGACCTGTGCAACCACATCGAAGACCTAACCAGGTGCGGGTACCTCAGCGGGTTCGTCAACAAAAGTGAGAAGCCAGCATAGGAGGAACAATGCTAGGGAATGCTCGACCACNCAAGAGGAACCGTGACAAGTACTACAAATTCCACAGGGACCACAGTCATGACATGGAGATCTGCTTTGACCTGTGCAACCACATCGAAGACCTAACCAGGTGCGGGTACCTCAGCGGGTTCGTCGACAAAAGTGAGAAGCCAGCATAGGAGGAACAATGCTAGGGAATGCTCGACCACCGTCTTGAGCTCCTCCTGCCGGTGTGATCCATGTGATATCAGGAGGGATTGCCGCAGGGGAGAGAGTAGCTCGAGGCGCAAGAAGTATGCGCAACTATGCAAAATTGA